TTTCAGCACTTCTGACTGTTGTTTCACAACATCATTTGTTCCAATGTGCAGTACCACATTCTTCACAGTCGGATGTTCAGCCCCAATATGCAGGATCTTCTCAGCCAAGTCAGAGACCACATCCTTGGGAAAACAGAGTACTTTGGTGTTGTTCTTATTACACAGACCTTTTACATCTCTTACAGCAGAGTCACCCACAATCAGAGTTTCAGGCCCAGTCGTTAGCTTTCCCTCTAGCCTTTTACTTTTAGAGTAGCTATTGGTCCTTACCCTGCTGCGTGAAGAGGACAGGTTATCCAGGTCATCAGATCTCCGGTTCTCGGTCAGCGGAGCGTATCTGTTCTGGATTGGCACACTTGGTGGTTTAGGAGGATTGTTTGTAATTCTCCCTTTAGCAGCTGTCCACTGCTGTTTCCTAGTATGAATAGGGGTTGAAGAGGCGCTCTTCCTGGGTGATAACAATGCAGGCCTGCCGGTCGCATCACAGATTTCGGAGCTCTGGGCTCTGCCTGTTATCCGTCCTCCCAAATCCCATGGAAATGATTTACTCTTAGGCTTTAGGCTTTGCACCCAGAGAGTTCCAGGGAGGACTACCACTTGTAGATTTATTACCCGGTACACAGCCCTCCTGTTCCTTGGAATCCTTGTAGCTGCTAACTAGCTGTGAGTTAGCATATTGTACTCCCATTGTGTTATTTAATATTATAGTTATTGCCTTGTACAGCACTTTGGTCAACTGAAGGTTGTTTTAAATGTGCTATATAAATAAAGATTGAGATGGAGATTGAAGGAAAATGTTTCTGTGTTTACTTATTTTCCAGTTAGATTTCTTCTGATGACTCATTAGTGATAAGCAGCAGAAGCCAGATGAGCTCATGTGGGCATTGTGTGTGTGTGTGTGTGTGTGTGTGTGTGTGTGTGTGTGTGTGTGTGTGTGTGTGTGTGTGTGTGTGTGTGTGTGTGTGTGTGTGTGTGTGTGTGTGTGTGTGTGTGTGTGTGTGTGTGTGTGTGTGTGTGTGTGTGTGTGTGTGTGTGTGTGTGTGTGTGTGTGTGTGTGTGTGTGTGTGTGTGTGTGGTGTGTGTGTGTGTGTGTGGGTGTGTGTGTGTGTGTGTGTGTGTGTGTGTGTGGTGTGTGTGTGTGTGTGTGTGTGGTGTGTGTGTGTGTGTGTGTGTGTGTGTGTGTGTGGAAACCAGGGAATTAGAGGCACAATTAAGTTTTAAAAGGTTTTTCCGAGGAAATGAGCTGCTGCCTGCTGGACCGATGATCGGCAGACAGAGCGGAGACGCTTTTGAAGTGTGATTGAATTAAACCTTGTGAGGCTCCACAGTGGAATATCTGACACTCGAGTACCAGCAAACGCCCATACTAAATAAACACTAAAGCTGTTTCTGTGTTTATATTCAGAAACAAACACATTTTATTTTATCCATAGAAATGTACAAAGCTTTGGGAAAGATGGATACCACTTTCCTGCTTGTGTCGATGCTGCAACAAGCTGACCTAGCTCTAGGTACAGGGGGGTCCGCTAGAATGGATCTGCCCACCAGCACCTCTGTAGCTCACTCATTTACATGTTCAAAACACAAACTAAAGTGTATAATCACCAAATCAGGTTTTTACATAGGGCTATCAGCCCTTCAGAATAGACAAATATGTGCTTTTTGGAGCTGATGGTGGAAGTTGTAAAGGAGTGAGCCATCTTGCATCTTGTACCTGGAGTCAGTGTTTGGTACTCCAACTTCTGGCTCCACTCAAAGTTATTACATGAAGTTATTATACTTCAGGAAAGTCGACGGGGGGGGGGGCTGTTTTAGCGCAGTTCTCCTGTGAAGGGGGGAGTCTCCCTCCGCAGCCGGTTGGCGTAGCACAATTCCGTTGTACAGACCGACGTTAACAGCAGCCCTGTCTGTGCACACGGAGACCGACTCTGTCGTCCGGTGATCTAACCGCCTTCTGGAAAAGCTTCACAAGTACGTCGGTACGCAAATGCGCTTTGTGACACAAGTGACGGTACGCATTTCAGATTGCTGCCGCACATGCGTACCTGCGTACCAGTTATGTGCACCCCTGTCTATAGTGCCCCAATCCGGCACTTATGACAAAGATGGTGGCGGGTAAAGACAAAGCTTCAAAACACAAGCAACCATTTAACAAAAGTTCAGTTTGGTAGTGCCAGAGGATATGGGCGGAACTTGAGAATAACTTAGCAAAGATTAAACATGACAACTTTATTTTGGTTGTTTTTCTAATAAATAAATAAAATACTTGTAAAGAGGCAAGTATGAAGAGTTTCTGACAGTAAAAAAAAAACATGAATCACTGAACTCTGGTTATGTGCCAGACTTACTATTTGTACCTATAATCCAAACACCATGAAGTGTTTTGTTATCTTGGAACATAGCCAGGCCAGCTGCTCCCCCAGTTTATTATCAGTTTATTTCCAAAAATGTCAGACTTTCACTTTAGGTCAGGAAATGCTGAGCACAATTTCCCAGAGCGCAAAAAGAGATGATTCTAGTCTGACCAACATTTCCAATCCCATAGAATTCAGCAGTGGTTGGGAGAAAGGCTTTTTTATGACTCAATTTGACAGCGACAGTAGAGAGAAATACATGGAGAGCAGCAGACGACAAATCTTTCGTGACGAACACAAACTGGATTTTAAAGGTTCCATGTCATGGCCATTTCTACTGATCATAATTCCATTGTTGAGGTCTACTAGAATAGATTTACATTGTTCAATGTTCCAATCTCACATTGGTTTCTCAAACAGCATCTCTGTATATTCACTCTCTGTCCTAAATGGCTGGTTGGAGCTCCTGCCCCCCCCTCCCTGTGAGCCCAGTGTTCTGATGAGTCCACCACCGTTACAGCTGGACATCAGTGATTATGTGTTACAATGGCGTTTGTTAGCAACCAGAAAATGACACCAGTGATGACAAACAGATGAGAATGCTGCGTGGGGTCTGGGGGCCGTGTTGGCGGGACGTTACGCGGCTCGCTGCTGCGAGGAGCGGACAGTGTGAGCTGGGTTCATTTCCTGCTTGCTGCGTGGAGTCTGCGAGACATCGCGAATGGACGCGGGAAGGGGGGGATGCTGAGGGTGCTGCAGCACCCCCATCTCCGAGGCTCCACTAGCTAAATTGCAGTACTCACAAGGAGCCGTACACATGCCGCAGTTTTTGTGTGGTTGTGTCTTTAGTTGAAAGCCCAGTGGCGATCTGTTCATCTGTCATACTGATCATACAGTCAATAACTTTGTTGTTATTAGCATCTGGTTAGCTAGCTATGCTAACGAATATAAGAAGCTTTTTCTACAACCAGTGAGAAAAATAAAATCTGTTGACAGTTCTGTTTCTTATGGGTGTTGAGAGATGTATCCACAGATCTCTTAATGTTGCTCTCAAAGTGCACCAGATTGATGCTTTTAACTTCAATATTTAAAAAAAACATCTTCTCGGGGGAGCATCCCCCCGGACCCCCCTAGAGGAGGTTAGGCCCCCCCCCCACTTAAATCATGTTCACATGGATAGGAAACTAAATACATTTGCACACATCTGTGTCCATATCTTTCTGTTTTGGTGGTCATGCCACAACCGTGCACGTGCATGCATACGTGAGTCATGGTGAGATATCTGGATTAAGAGGTTGCTTTTTCTTTGCACAGCATGAAAGAAAGGCCAAATGAATGGGCTGTGAGTTTAGTATTTTTAAGCAGAGGTCAATCATTTGTACGGCCCTCTGAGGATGTTGAAAAAATTGAAATGGCCCTTGAGAGGAAAAAGGTTCCCCACCCCTGGTTTACATGCATAAACACCTTCATAACACAAAAGGGGGCGGGTAATAACCGGAAAAGCATGACATACACATTTTGTACTTTGAAGATCACAATGCTGGTTTTGGTTCCACAGGAAAGTGTTGAGATATATATATATATATATGTATTAGGGATGGGAACGATTAATCGAATATTCTAAATTATTCAGGTGTTCGAATATGAGTATTTTAATTGTAATTTCTTTTTTTTCTTTTTTTGGGAGGGGTGCCTAAGTTGATTACATATTATCAAATGTAATAATTCAATGTATACGACAGTGCCATAGCTAAGTGTGTTAGGTCTAAAGGTGTGTTTTGCTCCGCTCACCGGTCCCTCACAGCGAGCAGAGCTGCAGGTGCTGATCTCTCTCTCGCATCCGGTTATACTTCACTCGCATTTATGTCCAAATCCATCAGATCTAGCTAGTTGTAGCCAATGATACGGCTGTAGCCCCTCCCTACACGCAGATCACGCAGACTCAAACCTCATCTTATGCCCAAATTCCAGCTGAGAGGGTCTTCTCTACAGCTAGCCTGATTGTGAATCGCCTCCGCCTCTCCCCTGAGTAGACATGCTCATATTCTTAAAGAAGAATGAGTATTGAATAGCTGCATTCTGTGCATAGGCCCTGTTATAGGTTGTTGATCTCTGTTGTCACGGGTTACGTTACCCTAACCCGTTATGTTGTTCGTGTACGATCCCTCTTTCATTTAAAAACCAAGTTATGTTTTAAGCATGAAAGCTGTAGGCCTATAGCTGTCAACTGTTCAAACTGTGATCACCAGTTCAATACATTTGACAAAATTCGACTTGGTTTCTACACTTATTGAACATGTATTTATTTCTTTTTCAAAATTAAAAATGTTTTTCTTTTTTTTGTACAATTTTTTTTTTTTCCCCACATTTATTTCTTTTTTTATAGGATATGTACATTTCGGTTAATCGGTTAACCGTTTTTTTGGGGGTCGAATATTCGAATATACATTTGCTTTCAAATTCCCATCCCTAATATATATATATATCAGCACTCCTCAGTGAGCAGAGGAGCTGAATGATGCTGCTGGACACTCCCCTGGGGCTGCTCCCTCTGAAATGTGCACACTTTACAGTTACTGTGATATGTTTGGGAGAACAGAAGTAAACACACGCTTCACCACTTCCTCTCTGTGTTTGTATCCACAGGCTGAGGCTGCTGGGAACAATGAGACTCACTAATGAGGAAGAAGATGGACGAAGAGCATCCCACTACTCATCACCAGAGTGACACTCTGCCACACATCTAAATAGAACAACAATAACGAGGAGGAGGGACTGTCTCTCTCAGCTTTTCCTATTGGATCAGTGGGTCTGATATTTCTGGTGTCTCTCAGTTAAGTAAATGAAGATTTATAATATCCTGTCAGTCGCTGGTTGAGATCTCACAGGGGGGTCTTGAGGATTTCTGCGCTAGTAAAATGAACTGCATCCAATTGTATGTATATATATTTTGACAGAAGATCATTGAGACAAAGTACTGTTGAGCCCTCAGCAGTCAGAAACATTTAAAGATTTTAAGTAGGGCCCTAGCTGACCTGACATCAGTTTCTAAAGGGCTTTCAGCTGACCAGTTCTGAGGTCAACATATTGTTTCAGAACGAACATGTGGCTGATTTCTGTGTTGTTTTTAGCTGGAGAATGATCACTTCATCATGCACTGATCAAAATGATTATTTTGTATCTCAAATAGGGCCATAGGCCAGCGTGTTAGCTAGTTAACCTTAGCATGTGACGTCCTTCTGTCTGGTTGTAAACACATGTGACATGGTTAACATTTACCAGAAGAATGGGTTCAACTCTGTTAATACAGTGCTCCCCCAAAGTGCTGTTGCACTTCAATAACATTTGTGTTTTTCAAAAAGCATCAGAATGAATGCAGCAGAACCAGAGATGCGTCTTTATGAGTTCCTTGCATCCTGTGTCAAAACATGGTGCCTACAAAACCCACAATGCAATTGACCGCAGACTCGAGTGAGGTAATAAGATGTTGTGCTGCTCCCCCTGAAGCCACAAAAGGCTTTATGCCGTTTTTAAAACGTTTTGTTTGATTATCAATTGATTTACAGGATTTGCCTCTTGGCTAATTTACAATGTCCAGTGTTGTTATTTAGACTGTGAGTTTGACATCAGGCCTTTTTAATTTACACACACTAAATAAATATATTATTGTAATATGAATTGATCCGTTTTTATGTAACACTTCTGCACATTGAGCTCTGGGTGCAGTTGCTCTTTCTGTTGCAACTTTCTAAAGCTTCTGGTGTTGGTGTGGTGGCCATCATTGATTACATCTCAGTGATTTCCATTAGTGTTCAGAAAGTAGAGATTAGACTCCAGCCTCCCTCCTCTTTGGTTTTATGTTGTGGCTTTTAATGACTTCGACATGGAATAATGATTTCCTGCTGACAGGAAATGGAAATATTTGTATTTTTCATATCAGACCCACTGAATCTATTTTATTTTTTCTTTGAAAGACATCCTGACACAATACATGTTTTCAAAATATGAGAATCATGAGCTTCACTGCAGGTAGATAATGATGTTTTAAGTGCATTCATCTGATGTTTTGATGTAAGATAACGGTGATCAGATTAAGTCAAGGATCAGCTGTGCGGCTTAGGGCACTTTGACAGGACTCCTCCTCCTCACCTCAATATCTATCAAAATACCAATTGTGTTCTTCAAGGCGGAGGTCGGTTTCCTTCAAAATCAGAATGTAATTATGTTTTCACTGACACTGCTGTCATTTTATGAATCATCAGTTATACACAGAAATCTGTTTATCTCTCTCTAGAGGACACTCTGCCTCTTTAATTGTTTTGAAATCTATGAATTATGAATTGTCTCTAATTTGGAAAGACAGACCTGCATTAAATGGAAGTGCTGTAAGATATATTTGTAGCGTAATGAAGTTTGTTTTGGGATGAAAGCCTTCACTCGTACCTCAGCAGACCAAAGGCTTTGAGTGTTTTGTTTTCTGCAAGTCTTTGAATCACGCCTGTGGACACTGGGATAAAGCAGTTTCACGTTTTTGTTTTCTGTATAGGATGACCAAAGCTGATGCATTTTGATTCATATGAACTGCAATATGTACAGTTTTTAAATGGAAATTAACATTCCACAATTGGGTGTTTTGTGCTAAATGTAGCCTGTGAGCTATATGACAAATGATTCTGTGTTTTGCATATGGATGTTTGTTCTTCTGAGCTTTGATGACTGATTGTAATTTAAGCAGGAGATATTTCCAAGTACAACCATTTCTACAATGTCTTCGTGCTTGATACATGAACTCACTGAGACCCTGTGCAGCTGTTTTCAAAGATGATCAGGACTAGCATGAATCCAAAATGGTAGCTTTTGAATGTTCTCAAAGCCATAGATGGATTAAATGTCCCCCATCAGCTCACACATCCGAGGGAACATAAGCCCTATGTTTTTATTCACATGAAATGTAAAACACAGTGTGGCTTTATCAGTTTTTCTTTCTCTTATTTAGCCAATAAATGTATTTCTCCGATTTCTGCAGCCAAGTGTGATTTTTGCAGTAGGTGATGGACCAGAGGCAGGGGCACCAGCTGCATGCAGGGGGGCTAGTGCGCAGGTCTTCTAGCATGTAGGGCAGCCTCCACCGTGTCTCCTCTCACCATCTGAAATAGCACATATTTCATCACATGTTCTCCACTGTAAGGGCACTTCATTATGTTTTCTTCATAGTAAGGGCACTTTAGAAGGCACTTTTTAAATGTCTTTTCCGTTAGGACACCATGGAGCTCCTCCTGTGTTCACCACTGAAAAGCATGTAATTAGCATTTTAGTATAGTTTTGTAAGGGCACTGCACCACTTTCTCCAGTGGAAGGGCACTTCATGTTGTGTCCATAGTTAGGGCCCCATAAAAGGCGCTTAATCTAATCTCTCCTCTGTTAGGACACCATGATCATCACCTTTTCTCCACTGAAAAGCATCTTAAGGGCACTTGTGCCAAGTTTTTGAACAGGGAGAAGTTCAAAGTCCGGTTAAAGGAATGAAATATATTGTGTGCATGCGCCCATGTTGGATTAAATGCTGATTCAGATTGCATCCTGAAATATGACTGATGGTGACCTCACTGCTTCTTTATTCATTCAGAGACTTAATGTGGAATGATGTCCTGCTGACCAAGCAATGAGGCAGTCTGAAACCATTCCGCCTGATTATGACCTTGCTGACTGCTGCAGGGAAGAATACGGGCTCCATGGCTCTTCTTTTCGTCCCGTTACAGCTCTCAATACGTAGCCTATTTTTGATATCTGCAGCCAGTGACTCATCTGTGGAGGGATTTATTTTTTTAATTGGGTCTCATGCCTCTCCTATGTGCTATGGCGACCGGCTGCTGAGCAGGTTTTCCGGGCTAGAGGAGGGGATCAGAGAGGGGGTCGAGCACCGCATCTCTCCCGTCTTCTGCTGCGGGACGCTTCACAAACTATGACCCAATCGTTGAGTGTTGCGTACTTTCAGCCCCGCCTCGTCCGAAACTGCGTCAAGTAAGCGCAGTGCCACCGGAGACGAAGCGAATTGTCCTTCAGAATAAGAGTGGTTTCCCCCTATCCTTATCACAAAATAATAATACTACCAAGTGTAAGCATGCCTTCAGTGAGTCTGTGCTACCCTGAGGTGGAAGAAGCAGGCTGTGCTACTTCATTAAAAGGTAGCATAGTTTTATAAGTTAAAGCCAAGCTGCATTTAAAATGTTTCTTTTGTTAAATAAAAGTTATGACATCTACATATGTTTTAGAGTAAAGGTACATATTATGCACAACGGCCTTTTAATAACATGATAATTGTATTATAATTACATAATAATGTGTTCATCACTTAAATGCTACTGTTGCAAAGGTTTTAATATATGCACATAAACTACAGTGTAGAAATGGCAATTAAAATCTTATGACCCGAGCTCCTCCAATGATGCAACATATACAATAAAATACAAATACTGCAGTGCTATAAAAAGGCAATCTTAACTAAAGTCCATTCTGCTATAGTTTGGGAAAACAATTCCTGCTATTTTATGTTAATATGTTACTGGTTTTTGCATCATGTTCTTTATCATATTTACTACATCTTTCTAATTATACAGACACACCTAATTCAATCCAATGAGGCAGGTGTAGCTTGTGTCCACATCGACCACCACTACTGCCACTCGTGTATTCTTGATTGTCTTTACATTTTGTATATTTTCCAATTTATTTTTCTTCTATTCTCTTAGTTGTATACGCACCATATGTATTATGTTGTGTTTTTTGCAGTTAACAGTTTGTATTATTTTGAAAGTTCCCACCGGAAACACAGTGTGTAACCACGGCCAGCCTGACAGCGGTCCCACCAGATGCTGCCAGAGTCAGCCTGCATGAGTTCAGTTTGCCCAGCAGTGCGCACGGAGGACTCGCAGGGGTCACAGAGCCTCACCGTCCTGAGGACCAGCACCGGGGGAGCAGCGGGTCACACTGCATCCTGATCCCGCTCCGGAGGAGAGAAGAGCCGCGCAGAGGAGAGGGGAGCATCTGGCTCTGCTGTCCGGACTCAAATGAACACACAACAGTCCGCAGAGGGAAAATCCTTAGAAACGGTGTCTGCGTTAATACCAAGATGAAAGCGGCCGGCAGGCAAGGCACCGTGACGGCGGAGAAGCTGAACGGGGACATGAAGCGGAGGCCGAGCTACCCCGGGGAGCTGCGGGCCAAACACGCCAACATGTCAACTAAGATCTGGGTGAAAGTCGCGTTGGCGATCGCCTATTTCCTCTGCGTATCTGTGGCTGCGTTCATCCTGGTCATCTACTATGTGTTCTTCTGGACCCCGGACCAGCACAACAACATCACCAGCACCCAGGCACCCAACCGCACCGACTGCCTGCCGCTGCTCGGATGACACAGCACGCACGGACACACACATCTACACACATCATGTAGGTGACTGCACACACACCTGACATGCGGCTGCTGCAGGGGCTGATGGGAGCTGGCAGAGACCTGACTGCATCCAGAGTTTGGGATGCTGGCAGGGGGGGGGGGGGGGTGGTGGTGTAATTGTTGTTTTCCAGAACACCCCTTCCTGAGGCGGTCAATATGTTTTTAGCTTGTTCTTGTTTTTTCCAGATTCAAAGACATGTTTCCTCCCCGCCAGTAGGATTTTTAAAAACCTCTTAGAAATGATGCCTTTGTTCTTGATTTAGTGTCGGGGTGTTTCACTGTGTGAGGAATAAAATGGTGGTTCTTCGGAAAGTCATATACATCAACCCATGGGGGGATTATGAGTCAATGGGCCCTTGGGCAGACATGTCAAAGCCCCCAGACTGAAGGAGACTTTCAGTGAGAGAACTGTTCAAGAGCTGCAGATGAACTTCTCTTTAGTTCCTGACTAAACTACAATCTAACAAATACTCAAAATGACAGCATGCTGTACAAGTATAGCAGGAAACTGTCCTAAAAGCTTCAGCTCAGGTTCTGCTTGATAAAAGCAGTTCTCCTGACAAACCGATGTAATGTTCCAATATTACAGTGAAATGTTACTTTGGACTTACAGTCGATCTGTTAGTTGATCATCAAGCATTTCAACGTTTTATTTGGCTCTTAATTGAGTATCTTGCATATTTGTTGGTCGGATTAAACAAGTCATTTGAGACGTAACAATGGGATTTTGAAAAGAAATGCAGAATGAATCATCAATAGTGGAAACATTCGTTATGCAGCCTTAATCCTGAGCAGTGCAGCTGTTATATGAAGGGAAATACAAAAGCAAATGTGATTTAAATATTCTTTTGGTCCTTGTCTGACAACATAACCACTAAGCCATGGACAGTTCGGTAAGGATTTGGTTGTTGTTATGCTAGCAGCTGCTAATTTAGCGTAGAGCAGCGAGCTAAATAGGTTGGGTTAGACCACACATTATTAACATTTTCAAATTGTAGTCTTCATTTGTGTCAATTTGTTCAGTCATTTGTGTCAGTCACTTTGGAGTCGCAAATGGCTCAATATACCTTTTTTCTCTCAAATGCAGAGAACCCTCCAAACCCTGTGAACAGTGACGTGTTCTGATGTTGGACTTCCCCTTTCAGAACAGTATTGCAAACAGAAGCTTTGGTTGAGGGGCCCCCAACCTTTTTGGCCCCTGATCCTGTGCCCAGCAGGTCCGCTCAATAATCCAACTCTCTTTTCAGTGATTTTAAAACATAATTTCTGCCTCCTGAAGAAAAGTGTTTTCTGGATATCAAACAGAACCACTTAAGATAAATAATCCACTTAAGACTCCTCCACCCTCAGGAACGCCTGAACACCTTGAATTTCCTGAGGAACATCCCCTGGAACCATCCATCCATCTTCTCCCGCTTATCCGTGGTCGGGTCGCGGGGTAGCAGTTCCAGCAGAGAGCCCCAAACTTTCTTTTCCCTGGCCACATCAACCAGCTCTGACTGGGGGATCCCAAGGAACACTTTTCAAAAACCATCACAAGAACTTTAGAGAACCTTAAAGAACACGTTTATAAAGGTCTAATGCTACGTTCACACCGGACGCGATGCGATGTTTGGGGGCGGCGCGATTACATGTAAAGTCAATGCAGAGATGCGATCATACGCGAATTCGCTCCGACGGCGCGCATGAAGCGGTGGACGCGGCGCGAATCACGCGATTGAGGCGATTGAACGGTGCCGCGTCAAACGCGAGAGTTCAATTTTTTCAACTCGGGCGTCAAATTCACGTGACGCGTTCTCGCGGAAGCCAATCAGCGGTGAGGATCTCAGCCTGCCGTCACTGACGTTCAACCAGAAAACATCAGCCATTAGCTGTTAGCAGTTAGCACTCAGAGCTCACAGCTCCTCATATCTGTTCAGAAACTGTACAAAAGTTAAACAAGTACAAACCACAGACTGTCTGTGTCATGACGAATACAGTCGCTGGTTTATTTATGTCTGTAGGCCGTTGTTATGAGTGTGGAGTGATCATATACAACGTTAGCTTAGCCTGGTCGACCCAATCTCCATTCAGAAAACAAGCATTTTAAAAGGTGTTTCGCCTGCCGTCTGTCTGCAGACTTGTCAAAGCATTAAGTCATGGTTTTTACTAACCGGTATCAGTATGTTGTTACTTCGGCATCATTTAGAAACGTGTATTACAATTTAATCACGGTAAAATATGTTCATTTTGTTGTAGTTGTAGCTCCCGAGCCAGCGCGTCTTGTTTGAATGATGCGAGTAAACACAGCTGGCAGCCGAGGTGAAACTCGAGCGATTAGAGCGATGCGATAGGAGCGTTTAGAGCGAAGCGAATATTCGCATCGTGTCCGGTGTGAACGCAGCATTAAGCCATTGCACCCCAAAACAGATCTCACCAACCTCCCCGAAGAACTCCAAATATCTACTGCACCCCATTCAAGAACTCACCTCAGAAACCACTGTGCCCCCCCCCCCCCCCCCCACAGGACGCCCCCCCTTAAGATCCACCACCCTGCACTAATGGAGTCTTTGAAATAAGCCTATA